CACTTGGTCCGCTGAGCTCTCGCCAGCCCCACTTTTCTCCTATTCCTTGGGCAGTTGCTGCCTGAAGTCCCTTGTGATCTCGCCTTCCAGGCTTCCAGGAGAGGCTGAACCCTTTTCAGACCCAAGAGCAAGCTGCGGGTCATTTGGGTCAGACCGGTGTTCTTCCTTCTGTGGAACTGGTGCATGAAAAACAAGACACACTGGAACTCCTACGGCTTAACAGCTTGGTGTCTCTCCCTGTGTGTTCATGAGGACACCGCTAGTAGAGGACAAAGAGGTGCCCCGCAGTGCCAGTTTCTTGCTTCAAAGAAGTCTGGAATACAGATCTTGGAGGCATCTGATATAGCAGAAGAAAATGTCATATTCACAATCACAAGTCCTGGATCTGAATCACGCTAGCCCAGAGGTGCCTTCTGCTCTCTGACCTCTAGCTTCCTTTCTTCCCCCCCCCCCCAAGATGGAGATAGTAGGCTCTTCTTTGGAGACACATGCAGTTAAACAGTGAATGTATATGGACATACTGGGTGCTGTGCTGGCACATAGTATGGACTCTGTTGCAGGCCAGGCCGATTGGTGTTCAGGTGGTTAGGATTTGATTGCACTCAAAAGAGGCTTGTACATGTTTGCATGTTTGTTTTTAGATACGTTAATTGCCTCTTTAAATGAATTGTCACGATTGTGTTTTTTCAATATTTTGATACAACATATGCTCACTTTTGCAAAAGGCTTCTGGTCGATTGGGCTGGTTCCAGCGGGTTGGGGTTTTGAGGTTTGACGGAAATGAATGGACTCATGCAGTCAGTTGGCATTCATGGGGTACCGGTTCTGGGTGCGGGGGACGGGGGAGGCAAGGAAGGAGAGATTTGACAGGCATGAACAGTAGGTAGCTGAGATACTGTAGTCTATTAGGAGGACAGGTAGGGAGCACTCTAGGGAGGTGTTTCCCTGTTTTGTGGCCTTACTTGCTGGAACGAACTTGCTTGGTGTCAAGCACAATTCTAGGCACTGGGGACAAGACACCTTCACTCATGGAACCTGGGATCAGGGAGGAGGGAGACACAGCATGGGACAAATAGAATGAAAAGTCAGTGCATGTGTAAAGAATTGGGGGGCGCACATGAGGGGGGTGGGAGGTGGATCTTGGGTGGCAAGGGCATTAGAAAGGCTTACTGAAGGTGACAGAAGTTGCAGGGGTCTCTGCTCTCTAGGGCAGTACCATACCCAAGGCCGATTCCCGTCTCCATGGCAGTCAGCCCCAGGCCGTAGTGATAGCAAGGCTGAAGACAGACAGCTCCCCACAGTGCACAGTCCTGTGGTAGGAGAGTTAGGAGCAGTCACCAGTGGGGACGCAGAGCCAGTGAGCTGCTGTCCTCTCAGTCTGCACCTTGGGAGACCTTTAACATCTCCAGAACTCCAGGCAAAGACAGGGATGGCAATCCTAGCACCAGAAGAGTTGACTGTGTGCCAGGTACAGCCCTAAACAATTTATGTGTATTCATTTCACTTACTCTTAGCAACATCCCTGTGGATACACATTGTCATTATCCTCTTCATAGAGGAGGAAACTGAGGCATTGAGAGGGCAGGTTCTGGCCCAAAGTCTCAGGAAGCTAGTGACTGGGAGAGCTGGGAGTCAAACCTAAGCCTTCTTTCTCTTCACTACCATATCCACCCACCTCTTGCGTAAGCAAGTCAACTGCTTGCGTCAGAGCTGAGTGAGTGATGTGTGTTGCTTATAGCATCTGCCCCTAGGCCCTGCGTTCCATTCAGGAACTGTTTTGAGTTCCTACTTTATACCCTGACTTTGTGCTGGGTTCTGAGCAAAGCACTGGGGCACAGAGAACAGAACTGTCAGCAAATACACTCTATGCCAGTGAGCTACAAGTTGGATAAGCACTTTGAAGGAGAAGTGCTGGGCCATCCTGGGTGCCCCATGAGGTGCAGGCAGATATTTGATCCAGCCTGTTGGGCAGAAATGAGTCCTAATGATCTGGAAAGGAGAGCACTTGGTTAGCAAAGCAGTGAGACCCTGGGTGTCAGAACAGTGGTTACAAGGATGACTGACAAAGTCATGGGAGGACTTCCAAGGTCACAGCTGGTCCTTGGGACTTGGTGGGAAACAGCAGAGTGTTTTCAGTATGGGAGGGGCATAGTGACAGGACCCTCTTTACCAAGACCACTCCAGCTGCATGGAGGGGACAGAATGGACAAGAAAAAAAAAGAGGGACCAGAGACCAGAGAGGCTTACAGGAAAGCAGTAAGAGATTGTCATTGTCCAGGGAGAAGAGGAGGGTGGTCTGGGCTATTTAGTGGCATTGGGCATGGAGAAAGAAGCAAAGCTGTAAAGATGTTTTGGAATTGTTTTGTTGGATTTTTGAGGTGACAGAGGGTGAGTCTCGGGGGGGGGGGTAGTGTCGCTTACTACGATGAGAAGACCAAGGTGTGGGGCAGGGGAGAGAGCACACTGGTCATCCAGTGTGTTTATGGAGTGGAGGAGCTGGTGAGGGACCAAGGCTAGGTGTGTAGATGTAGCATGAGGACTGGACCCAAAATTGAGACTGGTTAAGGCCCACCTGGGGAACAGCAAGGGGAAGGAAGAAAGGAGAGCCCAGAACTGAGCCCAAGAAGCTGCAGTGTGAGGACAGACAAGGCCACTAAGCACAAAGGTGGCTGTGGGTTTGCCATCTGTGAGGTGAGCCCTCAGTAGCCCACTCAGGGAACCAGTGAGCACCAAGCCTGGGGGCTCAGGCTTGGGAGGTAGGCGTTAGGGTAGCAAGGCCCTTGCCCTCTCTGGGCCTGCGTCTGTGGCCCTAAAGGGCAGTTGAGGGCCTTCCCTGTGGAACTCTTGTGAGCTTCACATGAGGTGCCTGAGGCAAAAGGTCTAGGCCCCAAGTAGGCCTCCTGATGCATGTGCCTCCTACTTTCATCACTTCTGTACCCAGGCCCACTATTTGCATTGCTCTTGCCACATCCAGCAGACAGAAGGCCAGCCAGCTGGAGCCAGGCAGGGTTTGACCCAGTGACACATTTAACATGGATACTATCAAGCAGTATAACATATTAGAAGATGTTATGTTTATGTGCTATTGGGGTGTATGGTTTTCTTTCTTCTCTAAGGTTTGTTTTTTAAGAGTTATACACACATACACACTCATGCACACCATCCAGGAATGGCGAAGCACACCTGTTACTATAGCTACATGGAAGGCTGAAGCGGGATTTCAAGTTCAAGACCAGCCTGAACAACTTGTGAACCCTCATCTCAAAATAAAATAATAATTAAGAGACTTGGGAGTGTAGTGAAGTGTTCCCTCAGCTAAATCCTAGTACTGGGGAAGAAAGAAAAGAAGGATAAGTGGTTACAAGGATGACTGACAAGGTCATGGGAGGACTTCCAAGGTCATTTATATCATATCAACCAATAACTTTGGTGTCCTTTCTCAGCTCTAGAATATTCCCAGCTGTTACCTCTTCAGTTATTCCTCGGCCCATTCCCTCAGTCCTCTCCCCCGTAGCACTGGCTGAACACATGTCCGTTAGACATTTTACTTGGCCTCCGTGCATGGTGCCCCCATTTCAGTGTTCTCTCTGTCCCTCTATGTTCAATTGTGGATTCAACTTCCATCTCACACATCTCTGTTCTGTTGGGTCTTATCTCTTCCAGAGATTACCAAAGGGAGACTAATTCCTCAGCCTAACGTAACAGTGATAGTCAAACCGTAAAAGGTCAGTAGGAGAGAGGAAAGCTGAGGCCCATCCCACTTGGTGCAGAAATCCTAAACAAAAGACTACTGAACAAAATCGAACACTGTATAAAAAGAATAATATATCATGACCAGCTTGAGTGTAGTCCAGGAATGCAAAGTTGTCTTAAAAATGAAGTCACTTACCTTATCAACTGAATTTAGGGAGAATGGTTATTTGAACTTTTCAGTAGATGCGGGGAGCAAGATAAAAATACATTTTCATGATAAAATTTAAAGACTCATGCACAATTAAAAAAAAAAAACAACAAACAACCTTACCATGATAATGTGGAGTTCTGTCCACTTACTGAAGAATTCCTACTTTATGGTGAGATACTGAGATTCACATTGAGGGAATAAAAACAAGCATGTCAAGTCTCACCATTTCCATTCAGCATTTTCCTAGAGCATCCTGGTTAGCCTGATGAGGTGGGAAAAAAGACAAACACAAAAGAACTGAGAGAGGGGCTGGGGAGATAGCTCAGCAGTCAAAGTGCCTGCCTGGCAAGCGTAAGGACCCAAGTTTGATCCCCAGTACCACATGCTATGCTGGTCCTGGAATCCTAGGTGTGCTGTGCCGACCACCAAAACTGGGCATGGTGGCACATGCTTGTAATGCAGCACAGGGGAGGCTGAGACAGGAGGATCACTATGAGTCCAAGCTGCATAGCAAGATCCTGTACCAAATAAATTTAAAAAAAAAAATAACTGAAAGGAAGGCATTTAGTGTGACTCCTGGTTTCTGGCTTGTGCTTCTGTGGCAATGTTTGTACCATTTACCAAGGCCAGAGCCACCAAGCTAGGCACTGGTTGGACTGTCTGTTGGGGAACACATAAGAGAAAATTGTCCAGCTGCCCAGAAAGATCACAGTGAGAGAGTCAGGGTGCACCAGCTCCTTTCCCAGTTCTTCTGCTGGCGTTGAGTGGCCTGCTCTCCTCATTGGATCAGTATCATCTATAAAACAAGTGGCTTTAGAAAGGTGTCTTCCAGGTGGGCTGTGGTGGCCAGATCCAATGGGAAAACAGAGAGGCAGGTGGGCAGGAGCCAGTACTATTCTCCAGGAGGCAGGCTCTGGGCAGCAGGCACCTGCTTGGGGGCAGATCAGGAGCCTGACCAGTCAGGGGGCCACCTGGGCCCTTTGGGGGTCACCCTTTCTCTTTGTCAGTGGTTGTTATGGTTGTCGCTGATGATGTTAAGTATGTTGTGTAGTTTTAAGACACTGACCCCCAACAAAATGCCCTTTTGATGTTTTAGACCTACAACAGCCAGAGTGAGAGCAACGAAGACTATGAGATCCCCCCGATAACGCCTCCCAACCTCCCGGAGCCACCCCTCTTGCACCTGGGGGACCACGAAGCCAGCTACCACTCACTGTGTCACGGCCTTGCGCCCAACGGTCTGCTCCCTGCCTACCCCTACCAAGCCATGGATCTCCCAGCCATCATGGTGTCCAACATGCTGGCCCAGGATGGCCATCTACTGTCGAGCCAGCTGCCCACGGTGAGTCTCTGCCTCCTGGCATGGTTCCCGCTGGTCACAGCAGGGAAGGGGCAGAGGGGAGTGGAACGCCAGTGCTGTGTCATGGAGTTGCTGCTCCTATACAGGGTTGGGGTTCCATTGCCTGCTCAAAAGGCAGGGTGCAGAATATGGGAGTGGCATGGAGGGGCGCGGTCACCACACTGCGCAGGCTGCAGGGGCCCTGCTCACACTGCCTTGGGACTTGTTTTATTATTTGTTAACAGTAGAATTTCATTTGCATTTCTCTTATTTTTAATACCTTTGAGATATAGTTCCCACATTTACAGTGTGCAGCTCAGTAGCTTTTTATATAGTTAGCATTGTGTTGCCAATCTGTAAAATTTTGAAACTCATTCCTCACCTTCCAAAAGAAACCTGTCCCTGTGTCATTGTCCCCAGCCTGCCGCCCGCAACTCAAGCCCTGGACAACTCCAGTTACCTTCCAGCTATATATTTGCCTTATCTGGACCTTTCACATAAGTGAAATCATACTTTGTAAGGTTGTACCTTGCTTAAGCAACCAGGGAAGAGGGTGATCACTGAGTTGAAGTGGGACAGGGAGAAGTTTTGCAGTCAAAGGCAGGAAAGGATCTCCCAGGCTCAGGGCTGGCATGCATAAAGGAGGGGGCCAGGTGCTCACGAAGCAGGGTTCGGTTCCTTCTTTTTATTGGGCTGGAGAGCAAGGACCTGAAGCCAGAGAGGGACAAGAGAGGGTAAAAGAGCTCCCAGAGCCTGGATCATAAGGATCCTGAATCCTGCTAACGGGATTATGCTTTCTCCCTCAGAGCTTTATTTACTTCAATTTTTTTGGTTTGAAAACTTTTAAAGTTTTTTTTATGAGTCCATGTTCACAACACATGATGACCGCCCTCAGGGGGCGGGGGCTGGCAAATGTACACAGCACATCTAGCACATCTTAGTGCTTTTTTATGTCCCCTCCCTCATTACTCCCATTACTTGGTGTTCTTCACATTTGTAAAAGATCTATCTCTGTTTCCTAGAATCTGTCTCTTTTTTTTTTTTTTTTGCTCTTTAATTTATTCTTTGGGTTTCTCACATAAGAGAAATCCTGTGATATTTAAGTTGTGTGTCTGATTTCACTCACCATTATGGCCTCAAGGTTCGGTTATGCTTTCTTAGTGCAAATGACTCAATGGCTTATCCCAGACCTACAGGAGCTGTAGAAAATCAGTAGACCTTTCTTAGGGGACAGCAGGTGGTACAACAGAAACATCTCTTTAAGGAAATTCTAGTACTTGGGCTAGATCACTGTGAGTTGTATTCATGGTTACTTTTTTTCCTTCGTTGTTTGTAATATATACTGGTCACAAGTCTTTATGTGTAAGTAACAGGAAACAGATTCACATTAACTGAAGTAAAAAGACTAAAATATCCAATGGTGGGAGGAATAAAGGGCTTCAGGTATGGTCTGCCCCAGGAACTCCAGTGGTGTCACTAGGGCCCAGTTCCATCCCTCTTTCTGCAGAGCAGGGCAGATGAGTGGAGCAGCCAGCGTACTTCCTGATGTCTCCAGCGGGTGACATTTTGGGTGTCCAGGGTGTACCATGACTGAGCGTTGCCGGACCAACCCATAAGTGTCCAGGAGGAAGCAGTCCTCGGTTTTGTTAGCTTAGGTGGCAATCATGCCTTGGCTCTGCTCACTTGCCTTTCCTATCAAAGTCGCATCGGACTGGGTGAATAGTGTTTCCCTCTGCTATCGGTGTAGGGCAGCTACAGCCCAATTTGTGGCCCAGTGCTAGCAGGTGCCTGGGACCTTGGGCATGCTGTGTGTACTCTAACCATCTCAACTGTGCTTTATTTCTTTATTGTTTACTCTTCTTTTAATACCAACAAATTTTCTTGCTTAAAAATCCTGGTGTATTGTGTATATTTTTGTAAGCCACTCTCATTTTTGTTTGGTTTTTCATCTTTGAAGCTAGCTGAGAAATAGAGAGAGGGGAGTGAGGAAAACGACTCAAGACCCACACTATAGAGTGTTGTGTTCTCACAAAAGAACTCAGTGCAAATTGATGCTGTTTTTTTGAAGAATACTTTCCTTTTGGGCCCGTCAGTCATACAGATTCCCAGCTGCTTCTTCTAAAAGACTTCCCAGTTCAGACTCCCTTGTCACCCTGGCTTCACCTGGCTGGAAGGTTCATGTCTTAGCTGTCTGCCCAGCTCATTTCCTAATAAAACCTCACTACTCCAAGCCGTCCCCGCTCATGACTTATGGCGACACATGCAAGGGCAGGTTCAGATGGACGCCTCTGTCACGTCCTGGAAGAGCCGTGGCACAGGGCTGAGGATGGCGCCATCCTGGACCACCTGTTGCTGACTTGTGGCACTAGTGGAGAGTGTGGGGTGGTGGTCAGCACATGGGCTCTGCAGTCTCATCCACTCGAGGTATGTCCTGAACTTCCCTTTGAGGCTTCACTTCCTTGTCTTGGGGTCATAACCGTCTCTTCTCAAGGTCATTGTGAAATGTATCTGAGATAATGCATGTGAAGTCTTCGCAAATGCCTGGCAGAGAGAAAGCAATCAGGGAATACTTGCTGTTGTTAGTAATAGAAAGGAATTCCCACTGCAACCAAATGGCCCTTTTCCCTTTGGTCTCGTTTACCCAAAGGAGCAGATTGCATCTACTCCCAGGTGCATCTGGAGGTCCCTGGTTCTTTAATAGCGCTGATAATTACGAAGCATGTTGCTGGCTAATCAAAGATGCCTCCCCTCATCACTGCCTCCTTGAAGTGTTACGCTGGGCTCTGCGCAGGCAGGCACTTTGCAGTTATTTCCCAGATTTCTTTGTAACTGGTTCATGCTTAAGATGCTTCTCAAATGCTGATAGCCTTAATTCTCCCATTAGCCTGACTTTGCAGGGTTCGCTGAATTTTATTTTCGCTTGTTATATTGTGAAAGATAAGCCAAACCCCATTACCCAGGGGAGAAGTCCAGACCAACGGGAAGAGCAGATAAGAGCCTGTACACACATCGTCCTTGCTAGTGAAAAGACAAGGGGCTCTTGAAGACAGAGTGGTTAGATTTGTGGGAGCTTCCCGATGAAGGGGAGTCAGGGTGTGGGCAGTGCTGGGATTCATATTCACACCTGCTACGTATCAAGCACTGAGCAGAGAGCTTTGCAAATACTCTTTCACGTAGTGTCCCACAGTGGAGGGAAGCCAGAGGAGTTAGGACTCGGAGGGAGGCTCAGGAGGGAGGTGAACTTGTGTCTTATCTTCTCTCATGCTGGGACAAATACCCGACCCTCAAAATGAAGGAAGGAAATGTTTATTTAGCTCAGAGTTATTGGAGGTTTCATAGTTTAAAACAGCCATCCCCTGGCCTGCTGTGCTGGCCCGGCCCCGGGTGCAAGCTGAGACGGCAATTGAGACTGGGCATGGTGGCGCGCGCCTGTAATCCCAGCTCTTGGGAGGCTGTAAACAGGTGATAATTACGAGGGTCTACATGGTGTTGGACACTCCGATCTAGTAGTGAGACCCTGAACACCCTGTAGACCCTTCCCTAAAATACAAAAAAATCAAAAAACAGCCTGAATTATGTAGCAAGACCTCAGAGCCTTATTTGCTCAGGAAAGAGGGTCACTACCTTCAGCCTCCCCAAATATCTCCTCTCTGCCTGAGGCAGCATCAAGCGCAGACGCCAACGCCCTGTCCAGGATGACCGCTCCACATCTGAGAGGCTGGGGGTGGGGGTGTTGTTAATAGTTCCCCTCTGGCCCCACCTTGAACCTGCCCTGGTCCTCTGGCCCCGCCCCCAGAGCCCCGCCCATCCTCTGGCCACGCCCCTAGAGCCTCACCCCCCCCCTCCTCTGGTCATGCCCCTCCAGCCACACTCTGCACCCCAAGTGGTGTCTGCCCCATGACTTACGTGAGGCTTTGGGGGGACAACTAGACACAAACCATAACAGCTTGTAACGAATTCCCAGACTGTGGCTCACAGCAGCAGATGTCTACTTACCCCCAGATCTGCCGTTCTGGGCTCAATGGCCTATGCTGGGATCAAGGAGCCAAGAGGGACACACTTCCTCCTGAAGCGTGGTGGAGAGTTTATCCTTGTCTCTTCTGCCTCCAGGTAGGCGGCTGGCCTTCCCTGGCTTGTGGCAGTGGCTGAGCCACTACAGTCTGTCTCATCTTCATATTACTTTCTGTTCTGTCTGTAGAAACTCCATGTGCCCATCATAAAGGGGCAATTGCGATTCGGGATGAGACCCTTAACTTAGTCACTTCTACAAAGTTCCATCTTTCCAGGGCTGGCCAAATAGCTCAGTGGTTTAATTGCCTACAAGCATGTGCAGGGGCCTAGGTTCAAGCCCCCGGCCTGCTGTGCCAGCCCCACTCACCCCAGGTGCGCTGAGACCGTAATTGAGACTGGTTATGGTGGTGCGTGCCTATAATCCAAAGGCAGGGCCTACTGGGAGGTGCTCAGGGCCTTGGGGGTTGTGCCCTCGGAAGGATTAGGGGATCCGGGTCTCTTCCTCTCTCTTTCTGTCTCCTGCTCGAGATGTGAGCACTGGTTCTCACTTGCTGTCCCACCATGGTCTGCTGCACCTGCCTGAGGTTCAAACTCGTAGTGCTGCCCGGGCTTGGACTTGAGCATCCCCAACCGTGATCCAAAGTAAACTTCTCTTTACTTATTAGTAGCTTGTGTCCGATATTTTGTTATAGTAGCGCAAAGCTGGCCAGGGAAGCTGTTTCTATAGATGCTGTTTGTGCTCTCCTGGGCTGTGCATATGTGCTCTGTGTCCTGGGAAAAACCCAGGGAGGATGGACTTTTGGAGCTTTCAGTGATAGGAACAGCCCTCCGTGGTGCACAGGCCATCAGTCCGCCAGCAAGCATTGCGTCTTGGCCTGGGTGTTGGCTTATTAGTCCCTAGCTGTGGGCACTGACATTGCAGGGAAGTGGTATGCCAGAAGGAGCACACGGTTGCCAGTGAGTCCAAAGGCCTCAAGTCGAACCAGTGTCTA